GCAAACGTAGTCAAGCCTATTACTCTCCATTACCTATTATGCCTTTGCAAGTTTGCTGACAAAGCACGAGAGTGTTGAAATTGTTATCATTTCCCTGACATCCAGTGTAGTAGAACATTTCACAGTGACGGGACGCTGAGTTGTACCAATAACGTCTCACTGCGGATGTGCAGTCCCCAGGCTGCTTTGGTTGAGTGCATATACTCTCTGAAGTTACTTGTTGTTCAAAAGACAGGTCAACTGCTCGAAAGTACTTACGAGATGTGGGGCAACACACATGAAGAACGCTGTTGCAGCTATGCGATGATGGACAATCGGCTGATGTTTGACAACGCTGCCAATCATCACCGATTCGAAGAGCTGACCCGTTGGGGCATACCACTAAAAATTTCATAAAGCATTACAATCATAACTGACATTTCAAAAATGAGGGAGTGTGTTTTCTCTCTGAAAAGAAGGAAATTTCGGTAACAGTAAGAGACAAAAGTTATTTACCTATTCGAGCAATTTTTCAGCAGTCTCAACTGATTTAATCACTAGTTATTCATCTACTCTACTCTACTCTAATTGGAATTAAGGACATATGCTAAGTTGAATCGGGAAATATAACTTACATCTTGAACAAAACGCTTCACACTCTTGCCTTGTGTAGAAGTTATTGAAGTTGCCAAGCCCGTGATAAACAAAGTTTAGACATTTTCCTTTTTCAATATCGTAGTAGTAGCGCACTGCAGAACGACTGAATAGTGAAAAGAATATTTTTTTATAGATATTACTTTTAGGGAAGCTTTCAAATAACAGTAGTGACTTCCTGAATGAGTTTGTAAGAATCTGAAGGAATTTGAAGTTTATCTTTCAATTCAGTTTCGACGATGTGAGCAGTTGCATAAATTTCAGCAAAACATACTGACAGTAATGTCTGCTCCATTAGCAACTCACCTTCCAGCAATGCTTACACCTCGATCAAAGTTTGTTTTTGGCTTTTCCACATACTCTCGACCACCATAAGGGCTGCAGATGTGTTCTGAAAGAAAAATTGGCGCTTGCGGACTAATCCTGAACCAATGTACCTCTTGTGGGACAACAAATCTGTGTGGATCCTATGAGAACGCATTCATGTTCATTGTCACAAGTCGATCTTGTCGACATACAACCTGTTTTTGCCGCTTCATCATATATCGCAGAAGTAGAGCGAACAAACTCTGCGGAGCCCCGTGCACAAGCTGAAAAGAGCAAATAGTGTAGTCATATTTTCTTGACATTGATGATCAATTTGAAATTTTTGAGATTAATTTTGATTCGAATTTTAAAACATGCAATAATTTTTGTTTCTTATTCATCACTAACCAAGGATATCCTTCATAAAGCTTTCTCTGCAAACTCTTGTAAGCACTTGGCGAGAATGATAAGAGATAAAGTTTTTGGATTTAAATAAAGAAAGATAGGGCTACTTTTAGCTTTTGCTGAACCGATAGAAGCTAGAGGATTGCGCTTGCTTTTAAAAAAAAAGAGAAGAAATTATTTCAAGAACTGTACTGCATAATCACCGAAAATATAACATTTCACAAATCTATATCCTCGTATCTTACTTCAAACAGAAACTTACTGTCTTTACAATAGCTTTCACAATGTTCGACAGTCCTAAAATTGTTAGGAGAAGTTCCT